AAATATATTAGTCAGTTAGTTAATAAAAACTCTAGATCAACAAATATATCAGTGATATAATTCAGTACTTCAAATAGACGAACAGGTTATTACTGAAAATGAAACTATAGCTGATTTGTTTAATGAATATTTTACTGATATAGGACCAAATCAGTCGAACCAGATCACGGAAACTAATACAGGTTTTAAACGTTTTATGAAATTTAAAACTCAACATAAGTTCAATTTCAAAAACATTAATATCAATGAAGTGTTAAATTCACTTGAGAAACTAAAAACGTCTAAGTCAATCGGTCATGATAATATCCCAGCCAAACATTTGAAAGATGTGAGTGATGCCGTGGCACCTTTTTTAGTATTTATTTTTAATATTTCACTCAAACATAGAACTTTCTCTGATGATTTTAAGACTGCAAGATTTTCTCCAATTCATAAATCTGGCGACAAAAATTCGAGGCAATTATAGACCGATTTCCATTCTTTCGATTATTGCTAAATTATTTGAGAAACTTGTCTGTGCACAGCTCAATTTCTTTTTAACTGAAAATAATATTCTGAGCTCGTGTCAGTAGTAGGAAACGACCGATTCTGGGCCACTAGGCTAATACTTCATGTTATACAAATTATAGTGGATTTACCACCACTGCGCACCTCTTCTGCCCATCTGATGACGTCATAGATCACGTGACCACCACATGACAACCACGTGACCTATGACGTCACCACCCCTCCACCACGCATCCACCAGCCCCCGCAAACCCCACCACCCCACGCCTTGAGAAGTCTCCACAAAGTCTTCGCAAAGTCTCACCGAAGTCTTACCGAAGCCTCCACCAGCCCCCATAAACCCCGCCACCCCCGCCTTCATGAGAATGCTTCCAGAAATCTCGCCAAAGTCTCCCAAAGTCTCGCCGAAGTCTTCCCTAAGTGTTCCCTAAGTCTTCCCTAAGTCCTCCCTAAGTCTTACCGAAGCCTCCCCAAACCCTTCCATTGCGCACCCTTTCTGCTCAGATTTGGATCACGTGATCTATGACGTCTCTTTCGGTTGAATAATCGCTTCTGAAAAAAAAATTAAAAAAAGTTTTCTATATAATAAAAGGGTATCATTTCCTTATCTTGTCCACAGACCCTGGAATCTTGGACCAGATATCTTTCCCATTTTTAAACCCTTTGGGTTTGGAAAAGGGCTGAGTTAGCACTTTTGGAAAAAATGTGGGTTTTTTTTAATTTTCTATATAATAAAGGAAAGATGTCTGAAGGTTCCAGAAGAGTCACGGATAGGATAAGGGAATGGTACAACTGGCTAACAACCCACGTCCGGTTGTCCATCAGGAAGGGCGTGTCCGACGCATTTAACACCATGAGGAAGAAGGTTGTTGACGTACGACCAGTGGTATGACGCTTGGGAGAACTTTAGCGATAAGGATGAAAAGTGGTACGACGCCAATCCGAAAGAGGACCTAAAATCCATCCTAACCAAGCGTGCTATAAAAAAGAAGGTAAAGAAGTATGTCATCAATCCTAACGGATCGTACGACCCGGTTCACTTCCTTGATATCACAACGGACGAGGTTGAGGCGCTCATAAATTCTGAAACAGAACCTAGAAACGTAAGCATGATCCTAGCATGCGAAATAGTAAGGAACGATCCGAAAACTGAGGAAGAAGTATCCGTCGTCGCACACTTCAGATAAAAAAACCCCAGAAACTCACCGCTATAGATGACACGGAAGGGTCTAGTAACACCATGAAGGAAAAAATGCTAAAGTCCTTTTCCGAATACCAGAAGCGTGGTAGCGGGTGGAGACTTCGGAGGGTAGATCTGCTCGAAATTCATATAGGAGAATACCAACCGCTAAGGGGAAAGAGTTACGTACCATTATCCGCAACGATCAGGAAAAAGAAAGCGATCATCAACATGAAGAACGACGACGATGAATGTTTCAAGTGGGCTGTGACCCGCGCACTGAATCCCACCGACACCCATCCGGAAAGGATTACAAGGATTCCCAAAGAGCAGACCGAGGAACTAGACTTGGAAGGGATAGAGTTCCCAACACATCTAAACAATATCAAAAAGTTTGAAAAGAACAACAATATTGGTGTTAACGTGTTTGGGCTTGACGGACGTTATAAGGTATGGCCCTTAGGAATATCCGGTAATACCGATTCCATAAACCTCTTTCTGTGGAAGAACCATTATAGGGTTATCAAGGATATGTCCAGGCTTGTAAGCGCACAGACCGACGATCACGGAAATAGAAAACATATCTGCAACCGTTGTCTTAATGCATTCAGGTCAGGAGAACTTTTGGAAAAACATCTGGAGTTATGTTCGAACAACAACTATCAGAGGCATGAGTGCCCAGAAGCCGGTACCACCACAGAGTTTAAAAATTATGAAAGAACACTAACCGTTCCGTTTGTCATCTATGCGGACTTCGAATGCTACATCGAAGGGATTGACATGATTGAGCATAATCCTAACAGATCAAGTACAACCCAATACCAGAAGCACAGCCCCAGTGGATTCTGTTACTACGTCAAGTGTTTCAACAATTCCATTTACAAACCCAAGCTGGTACACTATACCCAACAACATGAGGGAGAAGACGTTACCAAAGAGTTTGTGGATATGTTCGAAGAGGAAGCCCATGATATATACAACAGGTTTAAATTCAAGGAATCTATCGAGATGCTCCCCAGAGATATCGAAAATTATGAAAGGGCGACTGTCTGTTATGCATGTAGAAAATAATTCACTACAGAAGAACATTAAGTTAGGCACCATTGTCACTATACGGGAGCATATAGGGGTGCGGCGCACAATACGTGTAATTTAAAAATGAGAAGGCCGAGATTCATCTCGGTACGTTTTCACAACCTCGAAAAATACGATGATCATCTATTTATCAAAAACCTTGGGGTAAGAAGTGGGGACATCAAATGTATTCCTAAAACGGAAGAGAAGTACATTTCCTTTACTAAGGAGATAGAGGTCGCTAGGTTTACCAACGAAGACGGAAAGGAAAAGAAGGTCATAAGAGAGTTAAGGTTCTTCGACTCATTTAAGTTCATGGCGAGCTCCCTGGACAAGCTCGTTAAGGGTTTGGGTAAGGACGACTTCAGAAATTTGGATCTGATGTCAAAACGTAATACCAAAGAACAGAAGGAGCTGCTTAAACAGAAGGGTGTTTACCCTTATGAATGTATGGATGATTTTGAGAGGCTTGAAGAAACATCGCTCCCACCGAAGGAGAAATTCTTCAACAAGCTAAACAACGAAAACATCAGCGAGACGGTTATGAAAGAGCCTGTACCGTGTGGACTACCTTCAACATGAAGACCATGAGGAACTATCACGATCTGCACCTGAAAACGGATGTCCTTCTTCTAGCAGATGTGATGGAAACTTCAGAAAGGTTTGTAAGACCAACTACGGGCTGGTTCCTATGTGGTACTATACAGCACCCGGGTTGGCATGGGACGTTGCGCTGAAGTTAACCGGTGTGGAGTTGGACCTTATCTCCGATCCGGATATGTACCTCTTTATCGAGAAGTGTATTCGGGGTGGGATCAGCACCATTACCAAAAGGTATGCCAAGGCAGATAATAAGTATATTAGACCTCCTGAGAATCTAACCGGGTTGGAAAGGTTTAGAAAATGGATAATGAAAAGGTTTTCCGGTTTACCAGCCGTGATCATATCTATGATCCGCACGATTATCACAATCATTACCGGTACGAAACTGGTGGTTGGTCGCGATGATGAAGAGCGGTCTACATACCTCCCCTATACGGACGCGAACAACCTATACGGATGGGCAATGAGTCAACTCCTACCCATCAAAGACTTCAAATGGATGAGTGATGAAGAACTGGAGAAGTGGACAGACTATAGCTGCATCCTCGAAGTGGATATGGAATACCCCGACGAACTACACGAGAAACATAACGAATACCCCCTTGCGCCCGAAAGAATGATGATTAATAAGGTGGAAAAGCTAATTCCGAATCTTAACAGTAAGCAAAAATACGTCCTTTACCATAAGAACCTAAACAATACCTGAGCTTAGGGTTAAAAATCACGAAGATACACCGTGGAGTGAAATTCTACGAAAAGCTTTGGATGAAGGAATATATCCAGCTCAACACGGACCTGCGTACCAAAGGTACTACGGACTTTGAAAAGGACTTCTTTAAGCTTATGAACAACTCGGTATTCGGAAAGACGATGGATAATGTCAGGAATAGGGTTGACATCAGACTCGTCAAAGACGAGAAGAAGTGGAACAAGCTGGCCCAAAAGCACAACTTTATATCTGCTACAATCTTCTCCGAAAACCTTGTAGCAGTTCACATGAGGAAGACATCCGTAAAATTGAATAAACATATTTACTTAGAGATGAGCATCCTTGACATCAGTAAGACCCTCATGTACGACTTCCGCTACAATTACATCAAACCAAAGTATGAGAATGATGCCAAGCTCCTATTCACGGACACGGACTCCCTGTGTTATGAAATTAATACCGAAGATTTCTTCAAGGACATATCCGACGATATCCACGAAAGATTCGACACCAGTAATCTGGGTAAAAGCCATCCATCCGGAATCCCAACGGGTGTAAACAAGAAGGTTATCGGGATGATGAAGCTGGAAACGGGTGGAAACCAAATTGAAGAGTTTGTGGGATTAAGGTCAAAGCTATATGCTTACAAAATGGTGGACGATGGTGATGAGGAGAAAAAGTGTAAGGAAGTCAGGAAAGTAGTCATAAAAAAAGAAACAATGGAGGGGAATGAATGTCTTCAGAAGTAGACTACATGAAATATATACGGAAAGGGTTGTCAAGATAGCCCTATCGGCAAACGACGATAAGAGGATAATCATGAATGATGGAATACACACGCTAGCAATCGGACACAAAAGCCTAAGGCGGTATAAACCCAAACGAACCAATTTTAATATTCGAAGGAACATTAAAATTTTAACGGGTCTACAGTAACCTTGTAATTACGAATCCAGACCCCAGTCCCAATATTCCAATCGTGATCTGCTGGTATTCTTCCATTTCGCTTGATGGTTCGTAGTAATCGTGAATTGTTGGTTCTTTATCAAGGGTTAGTTCTTCCTGCGCTTTCCGCAGGGAGTTCAGAGCACGGTTTGTCGTTTCCATATCCGATTTGGCGCCGACTAGTTCTTGCCTGAGTATTGCTATTCTGTTCTTTTTTTCCACTTGACTTTCGTACCATCTTTCTTTAGCTTTTGCTAATTTTTCCAACGCTATGTTATGTCTCTTCTTTCATCTTCGTATCCGCTGGGGTTTAATATGCTGAACAGGTATCCGGCTCCTGCAAAAGCTACGGCGTTGAATAGTCCTCCGACTACGACGCTTGTCACCTCCCTTTATTATAATGGTTTATTTGAATGGATCATCCGGTACTAGTTTTTTGAATTGTAAATAATGAACTCCAACCGCATCGACTCCAAGGGCAACGGCTAGTTTTAGAATTTCTTTCGGACTACTAGGTACTCCGAGAATGTCACATGCAAACTGTTTGCTTACCACGGACACAGCGACTGCGCCACGTGTAATAAGTCCGCCGTCGAAGGCTTCGTTCATAAAGTCCTTTCTATCTCCCATGCTTTATTATATAGTATTTCTTTTTTCTTTTTTCTGTACTCGTTGTATAGGAAGTAGGTCAGTGCCAGAGCTAAAATCCAAAGACTCTTCGCCAGGAACGCAATCCCTTTGCTCCCCATGACAGAACTTTGGCAACGAGGTTTAGTACGGATGCTAGTATGGGTCCAACCTTTCCGGCCAGGTTTGCCATTGCTTTTGCGAATTTGCTCGTTGCTCTCGCTCCCTTTTTTGCCACGCTTCTATCCCCCATAATAATCGTGGTGATGATACCTGCTACAGATATCGCTACGGCTGATATTCCAAATATGTTCTCTTTTGCCCATTTCTTAAATCTTTCGAACCTTGTGAGATCGTTTATTTCTACCTCCTCTTCTACGATGGACAAGGCTTTCGGTCCTTTTGGTCGTTCGTTTGATCTTAATCTTATTTCATCCGCTTTCAAATCTGCCGTGTCTGCCATTGCTTCGTACTGGAGAGCCTTCTGTTCACGTCCTGCAGTTCGTTCGGTTTCAACCAGTTCTTTCCAATGATTTTTTTCTATTTCAAGATGGTCAATTTTTTCCTTACCTGAGCTTCCTTTCACGTTCAGGATACCTCTCAGTTCCCTCAGTTCATTCTCCGTTATAACTGTACTATTACCGATAGCTTCGCTTTGATTGGACAGTTCGTCATCCATTCTTTCAACGATATTTTCCAGTACGTTATGCACAAGTTCCTGAGAAGCATCTAGGTTTTGTCGTTCGAGTTGTTCCTCCACTGAGGCTGCAGGTGTTTTTGAATGCTCTATTTTAGCTTTCCTAATCAGTTCTTTCTGTTCGTTTGCGACGGATTCCTTGTTCTTGTCCGTGGAGTATATCATTTTACCATTTTTCGAGATAATCATCTTGACATCTTTGAATGTAGCACCGTTAATTTTTGTTCCGGCCTTATTTACGGTTAGCTTCATTTTGTCAAAGATGATGGTGGAAGATGGACCGCCTCCCTTATTGATATTTACTCCACGTTCCTTTTTGAAGAAATCCTTTTTATCCGACGTATAGGCCCGTTTCATTGCTCCAACATCCCACCTGATGTTTGGCGTGGAACCGCTGGGTCTTGATCCATCGACGTCCGGATTGAATCCGACGGGAATTAATATACTTTCGTCCCGTCTTCCGTCGTCGTAAATGAAACCTGTTTCCTCCTCCGCCGTTCCAGCTTCTTCGGCTTCGCGGTCGTCGACGCGGTTTGTTTCGTCTAGTTCAATGTCCGCCATTTATTATATATCCTTAATATTTTCTTCCGGAATCCAGGAATTGTGTTTGCTATCGTATCCTAACCACTTGACCAGCACCATACCCTCTCTTCTTCTCAGAATTTTATCCACCCTATACACATCGTCCTTTTTGTCTACAGCGGATAGTTCCTCTTCGTAAAACATTCCGATGATCGGTTCTCCGTCATGACTTTCTATTTCGTACATGTTGGGATTTCCCCTGAATACTTTTAGGACTTTAAATATCTCTTCCGTAAAGTTTGCTTCGTATCCCTTGGTAAAGATATCTTTATACTTTGTTATTCGGACCGTATCATCAACCCTAAACTTAGGTAATGGAAATTCCCCTAATCCGTAACCGTATAGTGTAATCCATACTTGGTTTTTGCTTGACTTGCTTACGTCGGCAGACATATCAACGAGTGCAGACATATCAACCTTATCGCCGATGTTTGTATTGATACTGAAGGAGAATCTGTTGTGCGAACCGTTATTAACATAAACCCTACTTCCAATGTCTTTGAAAAACGTTGTTGTTCCGTTTAGATGTTGGTCAGATGTTACGAGTAGCGTGCTCACTCTAAAACTTCCCTCACCATCTACGGCAAAATTTAGGGATGTATTAACAACATCACAGTCGATGGTAATATATTTAAGACCGCGATTAATACCTATAGGATAGGGAGATCTTTCCCACACTTCGGAGGTTAGGATCTCCGTTTCTGGAAATCCTATTAGCGGAGCAAATTCATTTAAATGTAAGTTTACTTTGGTTGTCGGATAAATTCTGCAGGTATTGTCATGCGTGTTACGTTCTATTGTTATTCCGTCTGCATTCAGTTTTTTCTTTATTGCATCGAAGGTCCAGTAGCCTTCGTCGAAGGTAATCTTCTTCTGTCCGTAGGTAATGTTATCGTTAACACCCGAATGTATGTTTTTTTAAGTCCAGTAGATGGTTGCGTTCTTTAGAATTAATTCACGCCGGGTCAGCTGTTCTCACAAATCGGCCATCTAATATAAACTTTTTCAATATATTTCGGATGGCCATGAAACTTGCTACATCAATATAACTTTCCATTCCGAACAATCGTATGTTTTTTATTTTTGAGATTTAACGGTTTTTGGCGGGAAAATGATGTCACGAAATCTCCAGTTAAAATTTATTTTCAATATCTTAATAGTTTTTAAACAGAATGTGGAAGATCATGTCAAGAAGAGTTCAAAACCGAAAACAGATTTTAAATATTTTAATCTAATCACGAGATACAGGGAGTTTAGAATCGAATTTTCCACCATTTTGTTACTATTTTTAGATTTTTCACGGTTTTTATGGTGAAATAACTTTGGATTAGGTTTAGATATTTAAAATCCGTTTTCAGTTTTGAACTGTTCATGACATGTTCTTCCAAATTCTGCGACAAAACTATTAAGATATTGAAAGTAAATTTTAACTGGAGGTTTCGTGACGTCATTTTCCCGCCAAAAACCGTTAAATCTCAAAAATAAAAAACATACGATTGTTCGGAATGGAAAGTTATATCGATGTAGCAAGTTTCATGTCCATCCGAAATATATTGAAAAAGTTTATATCAGATGGCCGATTTGTGAGAACAGCTGACCCGGCGTGATTCTGACTCTGTGTTCGTTCTAATACACTTGTCCGGAAAGAACTCGGTAGTTTCGTTTTCGATAAACACCGTTAACTTCTTCATTTTTATTATATGTAATAATAAAATGAGTACTAATGAAGACATCCTTCGTAACTATTACGGACAGAACTATGAAAAAGTAAAGGCTGCAATAATACCCGTAGAAATACGGAAGATGAAGGAGGATTTTAGGAAAAAATATCCAGGTGCAGAAATGTCTAAATTTGACTTTCAGGTGACATTTGCAAAGGATGGAACCGTAGAATCTAAGGATATATTCTTTAAGGTTACGGACCTGGAAAGTTACGACATCAAATCCAGCACATTCAGGGGAAATAAAAAGTGGACGTGGTACCTTTACCAATGGGAGAGAATATGGGGTAATTACGGAACCGTTCAAACCTTTAGACATAACAGGGACTCACTTCCCTACAGAATAAATAAGTTTGAAATTTATGTTTGTGACTGCATTAACACCTCCCACAACAGCTTTGTTTCCAATTTGGCCGATCTCAACACAAAGTGGACAGGCACCACAAAGAATATCACCAGGGTAAAGTTCGATTATATAAGCGATCCCTATTTCGCATCGATACTGGCTGCTTACATTATTACATATAAGTACGGGATAAGTACGGAACACCTGTTGGAAAGCAAAGGAACCTCGAGGGTAATCACAAGTATTGCTAGGTATCACCTATACTACCACATGCGTAGGTTTCTCAGAAATCCAAGCAAAATGACGAAGTACGTAACGAAGGATATGCTAAAGTCCCTACAAATAAACATGCCTACACAAAAAACGTGGGTTGACAAATTTCACCGAGGACAAACAGAAATAGGTCTCTGGCATAGCAGACTTCCGGATAAAAGTAGGGTTAGAAACTACAGATATTCATACTACCATACCGGTGGTGTAATGGGAATTAGCTATCAGGAAGTAGACAAGGTCATTAACAACAACGATACGGACTACACCCAGTTCATAGCTAAGAAATCGGACAGGCTGACACCCCTGGAACTAAAACAACTTCAACAATCTATCGAAAGTTATGTCTACTGCGTATTAGGTGCCCAAGCACAAACACGTTGGTCTATCGTTGGTAAAGGGGCGAAGTTCCTTACAGACTCAGGACGTATTTCACAGACTTTTCAGGGCCACCGTTGCGCAAGACGATGTATCGGTATCCATCTCCAATATGAGGAGGGCAATAAAGGATACTAACGTTGTACTTAACATGGCAATATCACTCGGACTGATATTAATGCTATCCAATATGATCATACTTAAGGAAAGAGTAGAGGGATACAACAACACACTACCACTAGCGACAAAAGACATGAAGTTCGGTAGTAAAACGGATGTTAACTACCCAGGAATACTTCTCTGCATCGATCGTGCGGAACTCTGTTTTCCGGAAACTTGAGCAGCTTCTCGTCCATCTTCATGTTAAACCTTTTACATATCTGATAGGTCAGGATATTGAGGTTAGGAAGCGATTTCATTTTCGGTTCCTCTGCCTCGCAGACTTCCTGAATGTTTTCTTCTATCAAACACCTCTCATGCGCTGGTAGATCAGAATGTGTTATTTTCCTTCTGATACAAAATGATTCAAACCTATCGCTGATGCTTATTTTCCGGTGTCTCATGATTGCGTTGTCCCAACAATTGTAGTTCGGGACAGGGGGTGTGGGTCCCGTAATTAAACCACATTTGTGGCACGTCCTTTCCCATTTTATATCAATAAACTTGTGTTTACGTCCTTCAAAGCGAAAGTGTTTGTTAGGCACTCCGGTATATACCGGCTTTCCTAGACAAATGGAATGCAGGTACTCTTTTTCCGCTATTTCAAAAAGCCTCATTTCCTCGCTCTTCTTCTTCCTTTTCGGTTACCGGGGTGGATGCAACTTTTCATAGTACGTCAGAAGGGTCTTCACAAAAGGAGAACCATACCAGATAATAGCTCCAGATCCGGAGCCTCTCCGCCAAAGTCCCAACCAACGGAATCCAAGTACGCCGCCTTAATGATGTCCAAATCCTTGTAACCATCCCTTCCTATAATCTCCTTAATTAAATCCGTATTTTCCTGATATTTCTTAAAAGCTATTCCAATAGTAGAGTCCATATCCTTTATTATATAAGAAATATTTCTTTAAATAGATTTCGAGATTACCTTAAGACGACCTTGAAACTACTTAAGGTTATGCTGCAACTAGCTCAGGCAACATTTGACTAAACTTTGACTAGACTTTGACTAGACTTTGATTGGACGTTGACTAGATTCTGACTAGATTCCGACTAGATCTGACATGATGCTACTAAAACCTAGTTAAGGTTAGGCTAAAACCTAGTTAATAAAAAAAGTATATTAAATAAAGGATGGATGAGCCAACAATAACAAGGGCAGAAAAGACCCAAAAACCAAAGGATCCGAGAAGGGTAGAATCGGGTAAAAGACTAGCCGCAATATGTAAAGAAGCAAAAGCAAGGAAAGCTGAAGAAAGACGTAACTCCGAAAATAATTCCGATCAGGGTGAATCGGTAAATACGCTGATTTACGCCGGAGTCACAGCAGCCACGTTAGGAGGAATCTACTACATATACTGTAGGGTCAGATCTACGGACAAGCCTGATCGTACAACCGAACCGCAGATGAAGGACGAGCCGAAACCAAAGTTCGAAAAATTTAACAATTAGTTAATATACTATAATAAAGGAATGGAAAAGAGAAGCCAAGAACTTACGCCCGGTTTTAAAAGGGCACTGACCTCCGATGTTTTAGGAAACAGGGTATGGAACTTCGTTACATTTAATCCAAACGAATCAAATCCTGGAAATGACATCCGTATAGTAGTTCCAAAACTGGAACCGAACACCTGTATCCTTTCGGATTCATTCCGTCTGTCGTACGAGTTTAAAAACGAAACCACCAAATCCTGCTTTATGAATAACCTCGGTAAACTCCTGTGTGAACGACTCATGATAAGAGGGGGGTGGGGTGGGGGGGGGGGGGGGGGGTGAGATAGTATACGACAATAATGGTGAAAGTCTCATCGAGGTCTACAAAGATCGTTGGAAGATGGATTCAAAAAGAGCAAACATGATAGAATACGGGATTATGAACGAGAACACAAGAAAGCTACTGTCGAAGGACGACACTGCTGATCAGACCGCAAAGACGGATGGTGACTACGACCAGGTGATCGCAAAGGTATACAAGGAACAGAAAATGAAACTCGGAAAAATTCTTAATGATCACAGTCCCTACGCACCGTACAACATGAAAAGCAGATTCGAGTACTCGATAACCTTTCCAAAAGCCGACAAGATTATGGTTGCACAGACAAACGAGAAGGTGGAGGGATATACACTAAAAAACATACATCTGGAATTGTACGAAGAACTAGCCAAACGAGTAAACGAAGGATACGAGACCGGCAGATCCCTGTCCTACGAACACACAACGTTGTTGAAAACAACCGTGTGGTCAAAGGATGCTACAAGGTTCAACGAAATCATAGACGTTCCGAGGGTAAGCATGAGTGCTGTGGTCCTAAGTTTCAGAAAAGAACAATAACCGACAGCGAGGAATGCGTCTTCCCAAACATCGAAAAAGTAAAGGTTACGATAGAGGAGAAACCGAATGCTGTATATAGTCAGGGACTAACATACGAAAATATCTACGACGAAGCAAAAAGACTATTCGGGATAGCTAACAACGTCTGCAACGACGACATAAGCGTTAGAAAATTCTACAAAAACAAATTTGCACTGGTGATCGATCTGAAAGCTGTTGACGACAGCCACATTGTTGGAAGTGGAAAAAAAGATCCTAGGTGATAACCCCGGAATCCTTCTAGAAATTGAAACGGACACTATTACCGAAGACATCCTCTGCAACATCTTTGTGCTATCCGATGGACTCATTAACATCAGCGAAAAGACCCTTCAGGGTATTAGTTACTAAATAATAAAGGATGGAACTGTTAGAAACACCATTCAACATGATCATTCTCGGAATGACTGGATGTGGGAAAACCTATTACCTACTAGAAATGTTGGAGAACGATTATAAAAACCACTTCGAGTATATATTTCTAATATGTCCCACATATGAATGGAACAAAACGTACCAGGACTGCAAATACCATATGGATAAGGACTTTATAGCCATGCCTTGCAAGCAGGATGATGTAAACCAGTGTTTAGAATACGTTTTGCATTTTGCAAACGGAACGACCAGTCTAATCGTCCTCGACGACTGTGCCAGTTGTCAATCCGTCAAAAACAGGACCAGCGAATTGGTAAAACTTGGGTTTAGCACTAGACATATGGGAATATCGACCATTGTCATTACCCAACAGCTTACATCCATTGCGAAACCCTATAGGGAAAATATATCCAAACTCCTAACCTTTTACAACCCGAGCGCAAAGGATACGGACATCATATTGAACGACTACGATGCAAACACGGAAAAAGAAGAAAGGAAGGAAATCATTAATACGCTAAAAAACAACGACTACGCCTGACTGGAAATACTGTTACGCCGACCATATACCCACAAAACAATTATTCCGCATATTAAATAAAGGAATGGAAACCATATTCGAATCTGTAGAGCCTGAGACACCTGTCGCAAGCGAACTAAGGGAAAAGCTACTGAAACTGGTCGATGCGGGTGAAATAAAGTACGTCTCAAAATATATCAAAAAAGCATCCGAAAAGACGCGGGAAAACATATACAAAGACTACGAAAGATAACGCCTGGAAAACACAAACAACCAACTAGCCGACGTTATCATCACAAAGTTTTCCGAACTCATGCAGGCGCTGGACGCTGTTAAGGATGCTGAAGGAATGAAAAAAGAACTGGAGGAAAACGATCTGCTTAGAAAAGACAAAAAAATCCTCGTCAGTTACGTAACACCGTACATCCCACTCATTGGGATACTAAGTGGTGGAATTACCGTCGGAAAACATGTTATCAGTACAAGGGTGGGTTGTTCGGGAAAGGAAGAATAAAGGTCAACAGTATATAGAATAAACTTTTTTATATAAAATAAAAAAGTGATGGATACATACAGGAAAGTTCAATTGTACTTCGAATGTTCCGAAGAAATGACGGAGTTCATAACGGAAATGTGTGAAGACACATCTTTTAACGACGCCGGTATTACTTACCTGAACGAAGAAACCGGTTGTGAATCTGACACCAGATTCTGGCTCGTAGGAGAAGCAGGTGCTATAATCATGGGTGTGAACACAATTCCTTCCGGTCCGCCGATAGGTGTTGTCGTTTTTCTCACCGTACGGGAGGGTGTGGCGCTCAGAAAGATAAACAACTTCACGCTGGACGGTCTGGAGTTTGGTATCAATTTAGGACGACCAGACGATTTCGCGGAATCGTGGGTATTTTCCATACCGTTTTTACGTGTCCGTTCCTATGGTATGGGGAATCTGTTTAGAATACGGTGGAAAGACCAACCGGCTATGCCTGTTGATTATGAAAACAGCTTGCCGGTCAGCTGTATTGATGCCCTCTAGACCCGAAATTTTAAAATTCTTACGAACATTAAAATTGATTTCTGTATTCTATTAATCCCGTCGTTGCAAAAGCCTTTTCCTCGGTGCTTTAGGTTTTTCTTCCAATATATTTGCCTCATGCAGCTTCACCTGGATGGAGGTTACACTTTTGGACACATAGATGCTCTCGATTTTGATGATAGCATCACGACGAAACCTCTTGTCCTGCTATTTCTTGTGGTCTACTGGTTCGTCCCCTTTAGGGGGTAGATCTCCGTTTCATCGTCGATCTTTACGTATAGGACGTATAGGATCGGGGTGCTGCCTTTCCGGTAGAGACATTTCATGATGTTTTCACCTGGGTTACCAACGTGATTGGCGGACTCCTTTTCCATCAGTTTCAGGGCTGATACAAACTCCTCTTTATCCCTCAGGGCTGGGAAGATGGAGTAATTGACCTTACCGAACTTGTTGTTCCTGTTCACTGCGTAGGACAAGCAGTCCTAAAGTTCTAGTAGAAGTGGACCCTGGTCTCGTGCCGTTAATTTGATCTTTTCGGACCCGTAACTGTTTCCGGCGGCATCTTCGAAAGCGAACGAGTCTTTGGAGAAGTCTGAAACTTTGGTAATGGACATCCCTTTTATTATATAGAAAACTTTTTAAAAAAAAAATTTCAGAAGCGTTTATTCAACCCGAAGTTAAGTCATAGATCACGTGATCCAAATCTGCGCAGAAGGGGTGCGCAGTGGGAGGGTTTGGGGAGGCTTCGGTAAGACTTAGGGAAGACTTGGGGAAGACTTGGGGAAGACTTAGGGAAGACTTCGGCGAGACTTTGGGAGACTTTGGCGAAACTTCTGGAAGCATTCTCAAGGCGGGGGTGGCGGGGTTTGTGGGAGCTGGTGGAGGCTTCGGTAAGACTTCGGTGAGACTTTGCGAAGACTTTGTGGAGACTTCTCAAGGCGTGGGGTGATGGGGTTTGCGAGTGCTGGTGGATGCGTGGTGGAAGGGTGGTGACGTCATAGGTCACGTGGTTGTCATGTGGTGATCTCGTGGTGGTCACGTGATCTACGACGTCATCAGATGCGCAGAAGAGGTGCGCAGTGGTGGTAAAGCCATTATAATTTGTATAACATGAAGTATTAGCCTAGTGGCCCAGAATCGGCCGTTTCCTACTACTCGTGTCAGTCTGCTTTCCGTAAAAATTATTCCACCGCATCAGCCCTTTTAGCAAATGCGGATTCATGGTTACTTAACATGGATGTTGGGATGATAAACGGAGTACTTTTTGTGGACTTACCTAAAGCATTTGATACGGTTGATCGCGGAGTTCTCCTAAGTAAACTATCTATCTATGCAATCCTAAAAAAGGTCTTAGATTGGTTTAAATCTTATTTGAATAACAGAGAGCAAAATTGCAGAGTGAACAGTGCAACAGCGTCTACTAGGAAAATACGTTGTGGGGTTCCCCAGGGATCGAACCTTGATCCCCCTTTTGTTTTTATTATACGTCAATGACCTGTCAAATTGCTTGGACAAATCCTTTCCGGCAATGTATGCAGATGGTACAAATCTTACAGTCTGTTCAGATAGCGTTAATAATTTGGAGGAAGCACTAAATTCTGAAATGAAAAATATTCACCAGTGGCTTCCTTCAAACAAGCTAACTTTAAACATTGAAAAAACAAAATATACGATCATTGGAATCCGTCAAAGACTAGCTAAAATTTAAAAAAATACAAGTGTATCATGTGGGGGGAAACTATTGAAACAGGTTTATTCCAAAATGACTCCAGGTGTACTGATTGACGACAATTTATGTTGGAATGAGCAAATCGACAACATCAGTAAAAAGGTATCGAAGGGCATAGGTATGCTGCGCCGTGCAAAGCCATTTGTTTCTTTTGAAACTCTTATATATATTTATCGGGCTTTAGTGCAATCGAGTTTTGATTACTACTCCATGGTTTGGGGAAACTGTGGCGAAGGTTCAAAAGAGAAGCTACAGAGACTACAAAACCGTGAAGCTAGAGTAATCACAGGTGATACCTATGAAATTCGCTCCACTGATATTTTAAAGAAATTAAATTGGAAAACACTCGAAGAGCGAAGAAAGGAGCAAATATTAGCATATGTGACCAAAGCCCTTTCAAACCAATGTGCTGAAAACGTTTCAACTATGTTTAAAATCTCAAATTCTAATAAATATAATTTAAGAAGCAATAACAAGATGCTGATGTTGTCGAAGCCTAAAACAAATTCAATGAAAAGGACTTTCGGATATGCTGCCGCTAAAGACTGGAACTATAATAGTAAATATTTTAATTCTACTTAATTTATTTTTAATATATATATAATTAACGTATTACTTCGACACAAACATTTCTTAGTATCTTTTAATATTTTTATAATAGTTTATATAATAGTATTTCGAGTTTTAATCTGTATTTAGTAACACGGCCTTATGAAAAACAACCTTTATAATTTTTGTAAATACTTATAGGTACTAGAAATACATGCATGCAATAACCCCTCGCCTGTTTTCAAAAGATGTATACTCAGTGCCGTTGCTAGCACTTCGTCTCAGTGTGTGTGTGTGAGGTTAGATAGAGGGGGTGGGGGGGTGGGGGGGTGGGGGGGTGGTTACCAAAATGTTTCCAGATGTACAAAAAATTTTCAGGACATATAATAATTTTTCCGAAAATACAGTTGTTTTCCAAATTCACTTTCTCATGTCCTGAGAATTACCTGAATTCCCCTGAAAATCTTCTGCAAATCTACTTAAATTTACCTAAAAGTGCACTGGAAATCTACCTGAAATTCCTCATGAGCAATTATCAGGGGTGTTGCACCCCCCCCCCCCCACCAGTGAGTTTCACGCATTCACGCAAACACTCTCTGATTTATTGTTCGTGTATTTCATCTCCCAAAATTTTGTGCATCATACTATAGAGCATTTTGCTGGTGTCATGGTCTAGCGTGGTTCAAATTTATGAATTTTTATCATATAAAGTATAGTGTTTTATGTACTATTTAAAACACGAGTAGGAGTGCAGCCGAGCGTTATATATCTGATAAAACACGACAACGAGTGTTTTGAATAGCTTAAAATACGACTACAAAAAGACTACTAATTAGGATGAACCATAGTATAATCATGCTAATTAAGATGAACAATTATATAATGCCACATGTGTTTTATCAGATATAAAGTCACTCCACGTGACATATTATGGCTGACATGTTTGCCACAAGGTTTATGAATTATTAATGAGTATTTTAAAGAGATTTCGAGCACTGATAAAAATGATAATCTCACATGTGAAATTATTCATGATAATCTCACATGTGAAAATTATCGCCTTTTCAATTATCGCTTTTCTGTAAAAATTAACGCTTTTCAAAGACTGTCCTTTATATAATAAACAGAAAAATACATGGGTGGTTGGAAATACCAGATTTATTTTTCGTGTTGAACATGACATCTCACTCGTTCGATGCGCTCACTTGTTCGCTCCGCACTCATGTTCAACACTCGAAATAAATCTGGTATTTCGTGCACCCATGTATTATTCTCTATTTAAACTACAACTTGACTGGTTTAAATTATTATCAAGTTATCAGTGATAGTAAAAGTTGCAGATAGAAGTGTTTTGTTTTATATTATTATCAAGTTATCAGTGATCGCAAAACCTCCAAATCCTTAATTTCAAATGTTAGAATGTTAGTAAGGGTTTGTAATCCAAGTGAGAATATATACATTTTAAGACCTAACCTGGAACGACTGCGAAAAATGCAGCACAAAGTCCTCTGGTAGGAATTGAACCTACGGCCCTGCGATTCCGGTGCAGCGCTCTAACCAACTGTGCTACAGAGGCCATCTGTTGAGGTTTAATCGTAAGTTCATGTATATTTAGGTAATCGGGTGTGCGGGTTGTGATAAGGTGGACTTCAATAATTTGGATTCTTGGCACTTCACTTGGTGGAATTAATATTAGAGTGTTAGAGTTTGTAATCCAAGTGAGAATATATACGTTTTAAGACCTAACCAGGAACGACTGCGAAAAATGCAGCACAAGGTCCTCTGGTAGGAATTGAACCTACGGCCCTGCGATTCCGGTGCAGTGCTCTAACCAACTGAGCTACAGATGCC